CCGGGTTTTGTCTTGTCGCGTCGCATCCAGTGTACACAGCGTCACTGATTATAATGGGTTTTACTGTATTTTGCTGCTCACGTCTGGTGTATGGTGTTTAATGTCATTGGTGAGGAGGAAAGCCTGTGTGTGTCCTATGCCTTAGTGGACAGCATGAAACCCACAAAAAACAAATAAATAACAGAGAGAGAATAATAATAATGTTATTCTCTCTGTGCTATTTTTCAATGTTTCAAGTGATGCAGGTGTTTTTTTCCCTGTAGGTTTTTTAAATTAAAAAAAGCATAAATTTTTCATAATGTTTAGTGAAATTATTTGGTACTCTGAGGTGGAATGGGGATTCGGGAAAGGGTGGGGCAGATTTTTTTATAAGTTCTTATCAGCGGCGCACGAGATGCGATGACGATGTAAGTGTCGTTGCTTTATAATGTTTTTGTTAGCCTGTCCAGCTGAAGCCACTAGATGCGGCGCTGGTGCGTTGTTCATTCAAAATATTGCAGAAAAAGAGAACATCAATGCGGAAGAGAACATCAATTTTCAATCAAAACTGAAACCAAGCCGTTCACACAGAACACACATTTTGCGCATTTTCTAGAGGGACATCTGTCACCGTTGCACTTGCATCTCGCACAAAGTACATTTTTAGATGCATGTTTAGAAAGCCATGTAAAATTAATGATTTAATTAGAAGTTTTAATCAGCCAAGCTGTGCAACAAGATAATCAATATTTACACACACTCTGATCGACAGAAGTGTCTGATTCTGACAGAAAGTGGAAAACTTTGTAGCTCATACTAGGGCTGTCGAATTTCGAATATTCGTCTAATTTAAAATAAAAATCCACATTCGGATGCAAAAACGTTGCATTCAAATTTTAGGTGTGCAATAAGGAGGTAGCCTTATCAGTGGCGCACGAGATGCGATGACGATGTAAGTGTCGTTGCTTTATAATGTTTTTGTTAGCCTGTCCAGCTGAAGCCACTAGATGCGGCGCTGGTGCGTTGTTCATTCAAAATATTGCAGAAAAAGAGAACATCAATGCGGAAGAGAACATCAATTTTCAATCAAAACTGAAACCAAGCCGTTCACACAGAACACACATTTTGCGCATTTTCTAGAGGGACATCTGTCACCGTTGCACTTGCATCTCGCACAAAGTACATTTTTAGATGCATGTTTAGAAAGCCATGTAAAATTAATGCAAGTTAAACTTTGAAAAAAAAAAAACATATATCGAGACTTTATGGCAGAGTTTTTTCCCCATCCCACTGCATCTCATGTTTTTAAATGAAAAATGTACTCTGTGTGATTGGCTTTCTGCCCTTTGTATTAAACTATGCATACATACATGATGCTGTTTTGTTTATAGGTGTTTAAGCAACTTAATTATAATTGGTTTATAAACATTATTTTAAACATTATGCACTTTTTTCACAGATAGTCATGTTATCTTATGCTTTGAATAAACGTGCATTAGTAATATTTTGCTCGATGTGCCCTCTTGTGGCCTCAGAAGAGAAGCCAAAAGCTTTTCTTCACCCTAACTGAAATTATGCATTTTAAATTTGAATATCATTTGAATTTTGATAATACTTAAGTACAAAATTTGAATTTAGTTTTTCAGCCATTGTGACAGCCCTAGTTCATACTACATTTAAAAAAAGGTCTTGTATATAAAACCCTATTCTTAGGTAGTAAAACCTTCTGGGGATTTCACCCAACCCTAAGGCCGTGTGTCCACCAAAGCATTTTTAGCCAGCTGAAAATGCCAGGAGCTCTGCTGACAATGCCTAGCTGTGAGCACTTGGGAGCGCTTCTGCGGCACAGCGTTTTCAGTCGCTATGATACGGAATATCTGCTAAAGTAATATGGTAGACACATGTCTACATTCTTTTTCATAGCAATATTGTGGTAGTCCAGGAATTCCATCTGGTGATGACTTGAATACTCGTAGACAAGCAATATTAAATTCTCCATTGGTGTTGTAAGAAAAATGATGAGGACGATGAAGATCTCGATGAAGATGTTTATTGCAGCATATCAGTGACAAAGTAGGCCTACATGTAGTAGGCTACCTTGGGCTCAACGGAGTCAGAATGAAACACGAACATCCTAAGCTCAAACATTTTATACTCTATTCTTCCCGCTTCATCTTCCCGCATGTAAATGAAGTTTCGTCTTAAATGTAAATTGCGGATAACAATGAAAGTGATAGCCTTCCGTTCCCACGTCTTTGATAGTCTTTCAGGTGGAAACAACCAAATGTTCAGGTGATAGGATTATCTAGAATCACTAGCAATTACATTCAAGTACCCTTTTGGTCAGCAGATGGTTCTTGATGGCCTACTGCCGCTCCCACGCTATAGGTGACGAAGTAACGTTCAGGAGATACTATTTACATATTATTGAGATTGGAAAGAATTATCTCTATGATAATTAAGCTCTTTGTAGAGAAAGGAGAATAGTTTATTTAGAGTGGAAGTTTGGTCGAGGCAGACTATAATTTCTTACAGTCCCCTCTTTGATGCTCTTGGCCCGGAAGAAGCATCACATCCACTCCCTTACACAGATCACACCTCCCTTCCTGGGCAGGTGCCCAGTGGCGGTGAAGCCCTGGCTTAGGTCGATCCCTATTTATGGCCATCAGAGATTCTTACCCGTCATTGGGTCGAC